TTATTTCTCCATCACTCATGGGCCCAAAATGTACACCAACAGCAATATAAACATCATAAAAACAAATACTTGTAGAGGCCCCTCCAGTAGGGATATACATGCATAAAAAAAAAGTACTCAACATGGACCCAGCAGACCTTGCATACCAGCAAACCTGCGGATATTGAGGAGGCAATCATGGATAGGGTCTTGCCAGTTGTATGAAATCTACCATGAAATTTTGTCAAATTAACTTAAACAACAGGAAGGCACCCAATGGCAGTTCTGTGCCTGAAACTTACTATGAGTACAGTGAATATGGGGCTTATTCAGAAATACTGATTCATAGGGGACATTTTTTTTCCAATGGCCCTTCCAGCCCATTCAGGGCCCAGGCCTCTTATTAAGTTCCATAATCATTTTTCACAGACTCCTAGAATAAGCGATCTGCCCATCACAAGGCCGCTATCTAAACACAGGACAACATAAACACAGAATAAATGCATACACACCAAACATCCATGCCCTGAGTGGGATTCAAACCCACAACCCCAGTGTCCAAAACAGCGAAGACAGTTCACACCTCAGTCCATTCGGCTACTGTGACTGACTCATGGGGAACAAACAGTGGGACTAACCACCTCTGGAGGAACAGCATTTTCTATTGTACCTAATGGCAATTCAAGTTCCTACATTTATTTTAGAAATCACACTAATGTCTTACTTTTGTTAGAGCTCTGTTCTAGATATATGACAATGCTGAGGCTAACATACATGAGTGGAGGGAGACAGAAGTTAATTATCTTCACTTCACCAAATCTTCCTTACAACATACATGGACCATTAACAACTAAGGAGATGAGGGAGGCCATCAACTATTGCAGAAGCAGAGATGTGCAACTCATTACCAGATGTGATGTCAATGCACGCAGTATCATTTAGGTGAGCACTGGTACAATCCAAGATGAGAAAATTTAATGAAATATTTGGTGAGCGCCAAACTGAATATTCTTAATCAAGGTAACAAACCTACCTTAGTTGGAAGGCAGTTACTAAACTGACACCAGGGGCAGAATATAATCTTTTAACATTTCATGTCACAAATTCCGTATGCGTGTCTCATCTCTACCATGGATAATACTGGGACAATTTCTAGTTTGTCAACCGGTTCCAAGGCTCTGCACTTCATGGCGACTGGGGCACTGTGTGCTGTGAGGTGCATATGACCATTGTTAATGAATCAGCATGCCTGACGACCAATAAAGTTCAGAATGAATCAGTTACAATTTGCAGATCACAGGAGGTGTCAAAATGCTATTTCTCAGCTTTCATGTTCACATCCTTACTGGCTGGCAACTGTCTCACACCTAACTCACTGCTCCAACTAACTACCAGGCTGGCAGCCATTTCACACCAAACTCCTACTCTTCTCAATGCCATCTCAAGACTCCTCTCTTATGGCAGGTGGCCCTGGTTATATAGCTGCGGCACAGACCACACACAGAACACCGCTTCCAACAACTCTTATATTGTTGCATGTGCATCTGATGCAGCCATTACCTAGCAATGGCCATTGTTTACAGAGCCATTACTTAGCAACTGCTGTTGAATAGCTGCTTATTTAGCAGTCATTGTCTAGCAATGGGTCTACATGCCACAGTATTTAATGACAGGTACAAATTATGCAATTTTCTTCATCCTTGTGTTACATTCTCTCCTAAATTCATATAATCTCTTTAGCACTCCGTTCTCAAACATCCAATGTATGTTCTCTCCTTAATGTGAGAGGACAGGTTTTACACCCTCACAAAACAACAGAAATAATCATAGTTCATGACATTTTAATCTTATCTTTCTAGACATGAGAGAGGAACATAAAATACTCTGAACTGAATAGTGCCAAGCATGCCCCCAAATTAGTTTTTAACTCTATGATGAAAGTAATTTTGACTAGTTACTGTTGTTCCCAAATATTTTAATTTTGCCACATAATTTTATTCTACAATCTGGCACTAAACATACAGCATTCCCCTAGACTATGCACGGGATGTATTCTTGACAATGTGTCTGTTCATATCTTAACACACCTATTTTTCCATTAACTCCCATGTTGTAAGTTGAGCGACATTGCTACAAAAATATTTCCAACCCACAGTGGACACGACTGGATACAACCTGCTGTTCTCTGCTTGCCAATCATAACCCTCACTCCAGATTGACTGAATTCAAGTTAAATCCTTGCATCATTCTGACATCATCAGCAACTGTCACACCAGTGTACTTAACATTTAGACCTACCAAGTTATTTCACTTAGCATGAAATAAATTCCAACACTGTTAGAGAAACAATGTATAACACATACTTTTATGCCACTACATTGCTTTGTCATAACTTATGGTACACACTATTTAAATATAAATGAAGATCAGACTATTAATGGTCTTTTATCTTTCCTGACCTACACAGGTAAAAGATAATCAGAATTTCACTGAAGGCACAATTAACAATAACACCATGAGACCACCACTAACATAAGTAAACAGTAACATTCAAATACAGAGAAGGAAGTAAAAAGTGACAAGTATTATTATTTTAAAGAAATGTAAACAAAAGTTGACAATAATCTGTACTGAAAATGTGATTCAAGGTGGCAGCAGATTGTAAACTAATTCTTATACGAGAGCAGGCAATGATATAATAGAGAATGCCACCTTACCTGAGGAGTAGGCACCATAGAACTGACAAAGACTTCCTACACAGCAATGGAGCCACTACTAAGCACTAATCTGTTCATTCGTTACAATGGGGCATGTGTGGAATAAAAAAATATACCAATAACTGAGTAGTAAACTCAATAAACTATGTTACTATAAGGCCAACCTTGAAGTAGTTTGAAATTTAGTAAGTATCCTTATAAGAAACTATTAAAAGGCAAAGACAACATTCATCTTTTGTTTATTCTAAAACATAATGTACTTTGTTTGAGCCAACATTGCGCCAACCATCCACATTCCAGAACTGAAATATTGTGAAAGAGAAAACAAACACAAAACAGAAAGGAGTATAACGTATAATATGGGCAGTTCCACTCCACTTAGTATTAACATTCTACAACAGATACCAGAACAACAGAACTCAACAAATTTCAGCAACATGGAGTACCAGTTATTGTTTGAAGAAGTAAAGGGATTCAAGTCAGTAAACAACTCTGCTGTCAACTGCAGTACAGTATACAACTTATTTCACTTGTTCCTGAAGCTATGCGAATATTGTGCTGAAGATATGATCCGTTTATTAACTGGTCAATACATATAACTTGTGCCATTTACTTCCATTTCTCAGAGCATAAAATGTAGCTTAATGTAGACATTTGATAACATGCTGTATAGACACTATGACTCACTCCTGCTGTTATACAGTACAATTCAAGAATTTTAACTTCAAGACTCATCATAGAAATGGCATCTGTGTACCTTGGTCTCTGTGTAACATAAACAGAAAAGAACACTGAAAAATTCTGTATATTTTCAGATTTTAAGTTGCATATTTATTATTCACACAATAAATTTGTTTCATTTTAAAAACAGTTTCAATAAAAACATACTCAATTATTTATTGATTAAGTGAATGACTCATGCTTAAGAGTCAATCATTAACTTAAATCTATTAATTAATTGACAGTCCTTGCTACCAATAGTTACAAATTAATTTTAAACAAATGAATATAAACACAGTTTCATTCAATCCTCCTGGCTCCAACACTTCACCATTATTTTCTGAACAATGTAAAACAAATGACAAACCAGAGAAGAACCAATATATAAATATTCAGGGGCATCTAAAGGAAAAAATGTACATAATATGTACCCCATCCATGAGCATAAATGGAAAAAGTACACTCTATTTACGAACTGCATAGAGAGTTTTCTGGAAACAGCCAATGCAACAAACAATTACATATGACACTGAAAGCCTGCCGATGACTAAATCATTGAAGTACACATTCTGCACAACAGAACTGTGGCATATTCCAACACTGAAAATATGATGAGAAATCATAGGTAGAAATGTTCAGAATATATCTGGTTACTTAAATTGCCATAATGCCATTCCTTTATGACAAACAATGGTACAACTGCTAAAATAAAGTGGATGAAACAGATGCAGCCCACGTATCTAATCTGTAAGCTTACCTTAGTGGCATAATGAAAAGTAAGGAGCAAGTAGTACCCTGAAGTAAAAGCAAGCCAGTCCATCAAGATAATCAACCTTGTATTACAACCAAAAACACTTCAGACCAGTGTTTCTCACCTGGTCAGACATGATCCCCCAAAGAGGTCATGATATATATAATTTTTGTAAGATCTGAGGTTTTTACAGTGGTGAATATGAAGAAAGCAGCCTTCTGGGATGTGACACAATGTAGATGTGGTGTTAACCGACGTTTCGGAGGAACATATCGCCTCAATCTTCAAGGTAGAATGAAAAATAAGAAATCTGCAAGCAGACTACTTGTACCGGTTCTCACGGTCTCTTCGCTCGAGGATTTCTTGTTTTTCCTTCTACCCTGAAGATGGATGTGATGCGTTCCTCTGAAATGTCGGTTAACACCACATCTACATGGTGCCACATCCCAGAAGACTGCTTTCTTCTATACGATTTTTGTTTAAAAATCAGAACATATTTACAGTCCCCCAAGCAAAGCAATTACCTAAATTTACTGTGATCAGAATGGGATTACACAGTGGCTTTGGATTCCTGTTATCTCACAATGGCAGTTGCTGGAGAAAGGAAAGACAAGAAACACTGGTCATGACAGCTAGCACTCACCATCAAACCACTCTACTTGAAGTACCGTGTCTGAACCCAGAACAGAAAATTAACTAATAGGTTTAAACTAGTGCAGCACAACTACCTTATTCTTCTTGCCTATATATTAATGCTGTATATCATTTCTACCTAAATTCTGGTTGTTCATGCAAACAAATCAGATAGCAAACTGAAAAATAAATTAACTTACCATCAGCTTCATCCATGGCCCGTGTTGAAGCAGCTCCCTCACCAATTCTTGACGGCGATGAATCTCCTGTAACTGCAGAGTGCTTTGTTCCAGAGAGTGATCTGAGCAACATGCTATGGGGTGCAAGAGATGGCCCTCGTTCAACCATCACCTCTTCTTTGATGACATCTTGACCAACAGGCCCTGGTTCCTCAGAAACAATGGTCTCCACATTTCCAAAGTAATCCAGCCGCCTACCCACATCTGAGCTGGGACTCTCCATCTGCACAACATCTTCATCAGTATTGCTGAATGAAATGGGATTGCTCTCCTCCTCCATTGTTGCATCTATGTCAAATACTGATTCATCCTCCGGCTCCTGTTTGACAGGTGCAGCACCCAAACTAACAACTTCACAACCAATTTGTTCTTCACTTGGCTTTGCTTTCACCTTTTCTGCATCCAGAGATTCGACTGAATCCTCAGCTGGCAAATGGCCACTAACACTGACACGACGTGGAAATGCTTTACGTCTTTTGGCAGATGGTGGCTGAGGAGATGATGACTGACGATTAGGCTGCTCTGTTTCTTGCTGGCTGTCACTTGCTGCTGTTTGGTGTTGGGAGAAGGCTGACTGCTGTGACTGCTGACTGCTCGAAGTCTGTTGATACGATGGAGAGTGTTCCAACGGTGCTGGATTACGATACTGAGTGGGCGTGGAATGCTGGTAAGATGAGGATTGCGTGACTGTTGAAGGGTGCTGATGTAAAGTTGTGGATGAATTCATACCAGTTGGTTTAGTCTGAATGAGTGAGAGTGATGATGAATGTGGCTCTTTAATGGTCATCAGTGGACTTTTTGAGATGGGGTGAAGGGCAGTCGTTTTACTGGTAGGCTGTAATGGAAGTGACACAGCTGGTGGGGAAGACAGTGGAGGAGTATCGTGTCGCATCTGTCCAGCAGGCGTGAGCACTGGTTTCTTTGTTTTGCATTGTTTTGTCTGCAGGGGGAAAACAAATTCACTTTTCTAATACATTTACATCAAGAAGTGCATATTTAAAACTTTATTCTTCAATGTGTTCTGTCTATGGGATATATGTTTCATTATATGTTCAATCTATCAAGTGTCACATAACAAAATCTTCATAAACATTAACTTTATGCTTGCTCTGTTCCTTACTTTGTTTCTAGGACAACTAAAATAGTACCATAAAACATAAAAAAAGATTGTTTGTTATGGTGATCACAGGGCAAGATTAAAAATGCTCCTGGCAAACAAAGGGTTAATTTTCAAGTACTAAAAATACAAAGTCTTTCTTCGAACACAAACCAAGCTTCTTCAACAGGACAAATGCATTTGTGGCTTAGAAATCCAAACAAAGAATAATCTAGTGTACATAAACTACCTGTAAACACACTAAAATCATTTCAACATTTTGACTGATTTTGTCAGTGGAAAACTGCACTGATCCTACATAAAGAAATCATAATGTTCTTCAAATATACTGAACAAAACATAAAGTGACCAACTCACCGAATCTTTAAATGGGTTTGATGCCCCAGTCAGTCCACGAACTTGCAATAGCTCAGCCGTATGTAAAAATGATGCGAGTCTGTCCTGGGTGATGTACACCTCACCCTGATACATGAAGCCCAGTAGTGCACTTACATCCTCATAACTTACATCCTTCAGAATTACTATTGGGTGCTGACAAGGATTCTCCTATAATTTTGATACAAAACATTTTAATGATATGATCATTTGCAATTTAATTTGCACTCTCTACAAAGGAGGCGGGATAGCATAGTTGGTATAGCGCATGGCTACAGGATCGACAACCAAGGGGTGGGAGTTAAAGACTAGGTAGGGGTCAAGAATTTTCTCTTCTCCACATTGTCCAGACCGGCTCTGGGGCCCACCCAGCCTCCTATCCAGTGGGTACTGGGGCCTCTCTCTGAACACCCATGCAGAACATACACATAACAGGAGACTCCATATCAACAGAAAATCTCCTGAAGAGCAGCTCCTCAATCAGTCTCACAGTTGGAGAGGAGAATACTTGTTTCATTTAATGAACCTTTCTAAATTGCACTGCTAATGGCACAAATACTTCTAATTATGAATTGTACATAATGTGGGGAGGAAAAAAATGGTCATGGCCTATTTCAGGGCACTTTCTCAGCACTTTATTGGAAGGAAAAGTCTCAGTCAGAATAACCAATCTCTGGATTGGGATCAAACCTGGCAACTCAAGAATACAAAGCAGAAACGCTAATTGCTCAAATCCAATACACAGTTTATCTCTAGTGTGTCACCAGGGAGTAAGATCTAATAATACAGAGGTGCTTGAGCTGATCCTGGATAAGATCAGGCATTAGAATTTCGATTCCAAAATAGCTATGAGATAGTACATCAGTTTCTGAGGCACCCACTATGAAGACTGATTAAATGAGGCTGTAATAGCAATGACCACACAAGAGTATAAGACTAATATACATATGAAGATTGCTGTCTTCTTGGATGTGACATAACATGGTCTGTAGAATGTTATCGACCTTTCAAAGGAATCTGCTGCCTCTATCCTCAGGGAAGAATACCTTGGTGAGCAGGTTCCTTTGTAAAGTTGGTAATGATCATGGATCATTACAGGCAGTGCCAGGACTTCTTCTAACAGGTGTGTAGTTAAACAATTTGTTTACAATCCTATGTTTAAGCCAGTTTTCTTGAGAAGGTTATCAGACGCTCTAGTATTCAGGATAGAAGAATAAATTAATTTAAAGAAAACTGTAATTTGTGCTATTAATTTCTGGATATTTCCTTCTTTATTTTCAATTTATATATATATACATATATATATATATATATACTTACTTACTTACTTACGGAGCTGAGCCCTTCTGGAGGAGCCACCAATTCTGCGGCTGCTCAAGAATTTCCCAGCATTTTATGGAACCTGAAGGTTCATTACTGTGTTCACAAGAGCCCTCAATTGGTCCCTATCCTGAACCAGATCAATCCAATCAATACCATCCAATCCTATCTCTCTAAGATCCATTTTAATATTGTCCACCCACCTACACCTTGGTCTTCCCAGTGGTCTCTTTCCTTCTGGCTTTCCCACCAATATCCTATACGCATTCCTCATCTCCCCCATTCGTGCCACATGCTCTGCCCACCTCATCCTCCTTGATTTGATCAAATTTATATATATACAGTAAAACTTGGTTATAGAAACATCGGTTTCTGCGACACCTTCTCTATTGCGTCAAATATTCAATGGTACGAACTAATTCCTCATAAAGCAACTGTTTTTATACCTTGCTTAGTACGACATGCACAAATGCATCAACCTCGTATGTAACGTCATTTTCATTCCTGAATTTCTCTGATATCGTGGGAAAGTTCGATGTGTCTGCCCACCCTCACTTTCTCTACTTGCTGACGTGACTGTCCTGGAAGAATACGACCGCGGGCTGCAAGAGAAGTGTGGGTTTTATGTGAAAACAAGGGTGTGGGGTGGGACTGCGTGAATAGTGCAAGAGGACGCTGAAGGTTGTTAACTGCATTCCTTTCATAGAATCTCGCCTAACAGGACCTCACATTGTCTACTTACCCTATAGTGTTCCTGGCTAAATCCAGAGAAGTGCAGTAGCGAAAACATGGCAATGAAAAGGAAAGTTTTAAGCACTGAAGAGAAAGTTAAAGTTATTCGTGAAATATTGTGTGTATTGTCAGTGAAAAGCGCTGTAATATGTCTTTGATATTACACATTTGGGCAATTCCACGTTAATGTTACGTTAGTCTGTACTTAACTACGTATTTCACTAAAAAATGCAACATTTTAACTCGGTTTTTGGTAGATTTTTACGTGACTAACATAAGTCTACTGTGGAAGTGCCCATTTCGGTTACAACGACATTCGTTTATAACGACACTATTTTTAGGTCCCTTTGATGACGTTATAACCAAGTTCTACTGTATATATATATATTCCAAAAATTCCAGAAAGTGTGAGCAGATGCCCCACTCACATACTGTCACACATGCATGTCATCAAATCCTAGAAGACAGTAATTTTCACATCTACGACCATGAGAACACCAAATCTCACTTGACACACATGTATATTCCTTCCATTATCTTCCAGCAGTCTATGAGACACACAGTTTACGGAGATACAATTTGTATATTATATACTTGTACCTTAAAAACAGCTCGAAAGTATGGGCTGCAAGCTGAGAGCACGACTTTGTGGGCTTTCACATTTTGACCTTCACAACTTAAAGTTACATCCACTAAATCTTCATCTGTTTTTAAACTATCCAAAGCAGAAGCAATGTTTAGCTGAAAGTTGTTCCATCGCAAGCAAAACTGATCAGCTGCCATCATGAAGTACCTAAAAGAAAATAAATTATTATTGATCAGATGTCACACAACTCATGGGTTTGGCCCGGATTTATTTCAAACAAACCAATGTCGCAAAAAAAGTGGTATTGTATGAATAATATGCCTGATCTAAAAATTACAGTAAAAAGTAGGCTTATTAAATCACCATGCCCTGTATGTGTGCATGTTTCTCGGCATTTCAATTTCTGAAACAGGTGACGAATCTTAACTTGGTACAATCCTTCCAACGTGGGAGCTCATACCACTCCCCCCTTTTTTAAATTTCCTGCACTCATTAACAACATGACAGAAATGTAACTTTGCAAGGTAAGAATGGCATTAGTGATACTTGAAGTCCTGAAATAATGTATGGTAACACATTCTAGAAAGATATGTAATTTTTCTTGAGAAATTTTCTTTTGTAGAATGCAAAATAAGAAGATGGGAGTAACAAGAAACTTCTTTCTAGCTTTCAGGATGATGGCTATAACCAATGAATCACTGCTGCTTGGTATGTGAGATTTGATACATAGATAGATCATAAATTGTGTGTGCACTGAGGTAAGTTGCCACTTCACATTACTGAGTTCAGATTTGAGCCTCTAACAGAGATGAGTACCAAGAATCTTCCTGGGGGTAGGGGTGGTTGGCATGTAAAGCTGACAACCTTACCACCATCTGTGAGCCGACTGTTTAGAAAACGTGAAGTCTCGACGTCTCACAACCTCACGGGCCTTAAGGGCCTGTTACAGGGATAGTAACATGAATTAATAAAACATGTTCTACAGAGTCCAAAATTATTGCACCTGCCAGATTTTAATCCTGTTTTACTTTTAGAGAAATTAAGAAATTCAATATCTGTGCATTTTTCTGTTTTAAGTTCTAGGAATATTTAGGCTGATTCTGGAATTACCTAACTACATTAAAACCTTACAAACGGTTACAAATAACCAATATTTAATACTTTTAGTTCATGAGGAAACAGTTTGACACTATGTTTTAAAGGGATACCAACATACTTGACAGCATAACTATATGTGCCCAAATCACATTTCTGTCACAATTCACAAAATCTCAAATGGCTAAAGTAACACACACTTCAGCAATAAGAACTTCCCTGAAAGCATTGCACGCAGTAATAAAGTTCGATCCTTAAATAGTATTGAATAGGGACATGTTGCATTCATACTGTTTCACTTCTCATGTATCTTTAGACCGAAAGATGCAGTATACGAAAAAGTACTATCTACAGAAGGTCTTACAACAACCAAATAAGCATTTGGCTAGAATGAGTCGATTTTAACCTTAAAACGTTTACAATTCTAAATGTCAATATTGGTACTCACACAAAATCTTCATCTGCTAAAATATATAGCCAAGTATTCTTAATCCAGATATTTCAAAATAACAGCAAATGCTCCTAATATGTTCTGTGCGTAATGCATTCTCTTGCACATACAACATTATACACAACATAAATATACCTTAGTTCTGTTATACCTACCTCTAAATGCCACCTTTAACCTGTAAGCAGATGTAATATGTACCTAGCGCTGGGCAACACTTTCAAGCATATCGTTATTATTTTCGTAGCAACGGGCTCACTGCTACGCATATAAGTAAAACTTATTTCGTACTACTCAAACGTAGTATTAAAAACACAAACTACTAAACTTGGAATTAGGTGAAACGACCTAAATGCTTTGACATCAATGCTGCCAACCGGCAGAGACCGCAGTGATATGAAAAGCCCGCAAATTAGAAAAAAATTCGCGTAATATCTAGTTACGATAGTGGAGTTTAGAACAGTAATTTCTGGAACTTCCAACAGATATCAGGTCACAACCAATTGAAGTTGGTAGCAATGAAGAGCGGAAAATATAATAATACTTGAATGAAAGCCTTTTCATTGTAAATAAGAATGTAACAAGAGTGAAAATTGTGCTTTAGTTTGGGGTACACGTGAAATACTATGATTCTCTCGTCGGTGTTAGATCAAAGTACACGGCGTCTCATCAGAGAGGACCCTAACCTTGTAGCACACACATTTTCCAGATGTATTCTTTACAATTTGCGTTGCCTTCGACAGTTACTCACTGGCAACATGTATCTCGTAGTGGGGCAGTTTAATTTTTTCTATTCTTCGTCACATACCAGCATATGAAATTCTCTCGTCTCTCTGTTTCTCTGCATCTCCATAGTTGATCCGTGGTCTCTGTTGTCATGAATACTACGGATCAATACAAGTCAACTGCAGAGTGCTGCTTCTTTTTTTTTTTTTAATGCTAGTTGTTGCCAAGTTTTGCGGATAGAGGGTGTCACGTGGTCAGCGCAACGAATCTCAACGACCGTTAATTTCGGTTTTCTAGACCGGAGCCGCTATTTCCTTCAAATAGCTCCTCAATTATCAGCACGAGGCTGAGTGGACCCCGTTCCAGACCCACTACTTCTCCGAAAAAAATCTCGTAGCGCCGAGAATCGAACCCGGACCTCTGGATCTGTAGCCAGGAACTCTGACCACTAAATTTCGCCGAGAAGCGGCGGTCGCTCGGTCGGCATCGTTCGCTTGCGGACTGAAATCACGGAGTTAATGCTAGTGGGATGGGACTAAGTCCCTTTTACTGCGTCCACTTCTGGCCTATTGTACGAGCCCCAGATGATAGGTGAGGGTGATTGTGAAGCAATTGGTGGAATGAAGATTGGCAAGGGAAACCGAAGTACTCGGAGAAAATCTGCCCCAGCGCCACTTTGTTCACCATAAATCCCACCATAACCGGGATCGAACTCGGGCCGTCGCAGTGGGAAGCCAGCGACTAACCGCTTGAGCTATGGCGCGGCTTACGGTGCTTCTTACTGGGGTGACTCTTTGACCCTGAAGACGAAGGCAGGATGCAATACTTTCCTCCAAATGCACATATATGTATAGGAATTAATTATTCTTCAGAACCTCACACGAGAAGCGTGTGGCACAGTGGCTTTCGGACCTTTTGCAAATCACCACCCGGGGCCAATCTTAAGTTATCTATATAGAAATTTAAAGTCTAAGATACTGACAGCGTCGATAAATTAACAACAAAAGGAAGGATCCTCTCTTCAGGGTTACGGACCAAAATTTTGTGTGCATTTGTCATCTTCCTGTGCGTGCTACATGCCTAGCCAATTCCTCGTAATTACATAAAATGAAACATTCATCTACCCATTCGCCAAATAAATCATCCATTAGTTTCCCACTCACAATTCGTTCCGCTACTACCTAACAGATGGTAGCGAGCTTCCACAGCACGGGAAAACATATTCCATTACAAAAGAGTAATTTGTATTCATTAAATTTATTACTTTTTACGAGTTTGAGAAATTTCATACCATTTTCAAATTTTCTGTTTCCACTGAAGGAGGAATTAATTCACTAGCATTATATCACTGTCACGCGTAAGAAATGTTTTGACGAAAGGAGTGCGTAGTACTGCAATGGTATGGCTTCATACCTAATTTCTTTCCTGCTCCAGAGGGTGCATGTGTGGACTGGAGATTTGGGACCCGTCTACCCCCCATATCCAGCGCATATCGTAGACTCGATTTCCCGTCAGTAAAGCGGCAAGAGTGTAAAGCTGACCACTTATATTTAACCACTGCCGAGGTTAATATTGCGCGGGTATATACCACCAAGCTTTCAAGGCTTGGTGATTAATTAAGCGCAGGGACAATTTTAACCTCTCAGCTGCATCGTTTAGGCTGGCCTCACAATTACAGACTGAAGCATCTATAAGAAGTAAACGGCGAAGCTTCTTCTAAGAACGTCTCCTTAGGATCCTGTTACTACTTAGGGGCCTATTAGCGAGCTCAGAGTACCTGTCCATGGAAGCAAATATTACATATACCCGTTTTGCGAGTTTTGTGAAGATTTCATGGATAATCTCTTGGTACTTTTGAATTTCATGTCCACAACAACTACTACTGCACCGATCGAAATTGTAACCGTTCATTCTAATTGGTGGACTATTTGTATTAATTATACCTATATTAAGTAAATATCAAGTAAATACAAAGAGATCCGGCAGATAGCCAACTCTTACACGCAGGAGGGACATAGTTCAAGTTTTGCTACGTGGACAGGAAGTAACATCTGGTACTTTCCTGGAATTCTGGTAGTTTCAGCAAAGTCGGAAAGTCTTTGAGAATTTGAGAGCTGACAGCTCGGAACAGCTATAACTTAGAAGTGGGATGGCCGGAGCCTCATCCCATGGTCGTAATGCATCAAGGGGTTGTCAACCTTAGCGTCAGGTCAGCATCTGCCAGAATCACATAGCAAAGCAACATGATTGGAAATTCAAAATTTAGGGAACCTCCTAGTTTGAAAACTTAACCAATGGCAAAAGTGGAGGAGTGGATTTCTCCTGGGGTCTGGGGTTCGTGGACCTCAGGATTCAGAGAGAGTGCATTCCACCTCAAGGAGTCTTCATCCAACTTTCGGCAAAGTCGGACACAAAATTACAACTACGTCCCTTCCGTAAAAGTATTACAAATAAAGTTCTAAACAAGTGTTACTAATAGATTCATTTGTATTCAGTAAGCTGGAGGGAATTAAATGATTACTAAGTGCAACGGTCTAAAGAGGTGTGTGTGATTGTAGTGAAAAATTCTTCCTGCCCTGCCCGAGCCAGACCCGTATAAGACCCGGGATACGAACTCAGCTCTACCAGTTACCGAACAGAACCCTGATACTCCCGTCTTTACCTACTCGCGAGACACCTAAGGGTGTACAAGAAGCGAGCTCTCGCCTACCAGCTCCAACAACCACAATTCTCCTCCCTTCCCACTTAACTTCTCGACATCCACGAGAAGAGGGAGGACTGTGATAAATGGAGCCCAACGTAGGATCAAGGAGGACGGTTACAAAATGGAGTAGCGAAAAATCTCGAGACTAGTATTCGAGATCTCGTGGATATTCGCAGTTGGTTCGGTCAAACCTACGAACGATGTTCGCTTGAAGATTTATACGGCATACCTCGTTGAACGCACTGAACTTTCCATCCATGGGCTTGCCTACACAAAGTATTATGTACTCCGGTTCCTTGACTGGCCCAAGAAACGTCAATGACCCTGCGCTCCACTGAAGCAGATACACATCTCATGAAACATATCGCGAAGCATGGCCTTGCCACTCATACAAAACGAGTAGGGGGCTCTGTAGAAAAAGTCTTTAATAACTTAACTTACATGAAATCTAAGGTTCTCACTGAGGTCAAGATGAAGATTTGCTGTCTTCCGTTGTGTAATGGCGTGTAGACAGATAGATAGATAAGGTTTGGGAAGAAGTTCGCGCCTCCATCTTCATAGTAAAAGAATTCGACCGTGAGGATGGAAGCAGCATTTTCGTCCAAAATTTGTGTAAACTTCTGTCATGCTATATAGTCACTGGCAAGTGAACCTCAAAGCTCACACTGTTACCTCTCTACCAAGTTATATGGCTTCATGCCCTAACGAATCTTGATACACCGCCGGTACTACATTTCGAGAAACAAATAATTACCATTAATAATAATAATAATAATAATAATAATAATAATAATAATAATAATAATAATAATAAATATACTAATTGCCTGAAGATGGCCTCCATGACCTAAATATGCAGTAATTAGCAACTAAATACTGTATATAATATACCATTATATATTGGAGTCAAGTAGACGGAACTTCCATCATTACTTATCATTAAATTCAGGTTATTAAAAAGGAAAGTAAATTACATCGTACATTTTTTTTTTGTGTGTTATCTACCCCAGTGGTGCCAGATGGTTTATGCGGCCTGAATTCGAAAGGAGTATCTCCAGGGTTAGCAGTTATATTTTTTCATAGTTCGATAAAGTTAAGAGGCATGAAAGCCGTGACGAATGGACGGACGCGATGTGCACTGCGGTATACGACACATCCTGTAAGGGTGGGGAAGGGAGGAAGAGGATCTCAGCTTTCGGTCCCTGCTGGCCTTGAGGTGCTGCTCGGTGCGAAGAGGAGAAGTTGAGACACCACTCACCAGAGGTGCCAGCTGTTTCACGGAATGTGGTTGTCCTGTTGGTTGCGTTTAAGTAATATTTTGCTGTATTTTTAAAAACTGGAAGAGCAGTGATCCCAGCATACAATTTTGCACGGCGGAGACTGTAGAGTACTATCTTCCGGGAGGTATTCTGGTATCGGAAGAACGAAATTCCTCACATTCGTGATTTAAGAATAAACGAAACAAGCAAGCAGCAAGAAGCACGCTGCGAACGTCGGTGAACATATACCGGAATACACGGCGTCAGTGCAAATGTAATTTCTAAGGTATATAGTTGTTTGAAGTGCCATCGACTAGAAGAATGTATAACTGATGTTTTAAGCGCGAAGAAGGAATTCCTAAGAAGGCTAAACTTGAATGGGACGCAAGGTGAGGGGGTATTCGCTTCTGAGGGGGATTCTGCACAGTTCTTTAACTTTCTGCGAGACATACTGTAGAGTGCAAAAAAGCTCCAGTACCCCCTTCAATTTTTGTGTCACTTCCATTCTTTAGTTGTTTATTTTATGTACTTTGAGTATAGATTAGGCTCAGGACTGAGCATAACTAACTACAGGGAACAGAGTCCTTGAGAACCTAATGCTTGTTTAACTGGCCAAGAAATTTGCAGTATTTTATGGTACTCGAATATTCATTACCATGTTTACAAAAGCCCGACATTGGTCCCTATCCTCAGCCGGGTACAGCCAGTAAACACCGTACAATCCTATGTATATAAGATCCATTTTAGTATTGTCCTCCCATCTAACCCTGAGTCTTCCAAGTAGTCTCTTTCTTTTAGCTTTTCTTACCAAAACTCTGTATAAATTTATGCTTTCTGTCACGCCTGCTACATGATCCAACCAATTCATCCTGCATGAATGTACTGTATTTACGCATGTAGGCCGCGTGCTTGTATAGGCCGCAGCACAATTTTCAGACAGAAATTATAGAAAAAATAATTTTCTTGGAATATTATTTCAGGAGTAGAACATCCTGTATTACTAATTATGAATATATATATTTTTTAAATGAAGTGTGATTTCGAATATTTCGAATATAAGCCGCACCCAAGTTTTCCTCTTGAATTTTTGGCAAAAAATGTGCGGCCTATACATACGTAAATACGGTATCATTCTAGTAATATTTGTTAAGTAGCACAAATTGTAAAGCTCATTTTTTAGTTTTCTCCAAAGTCCTGTTACGTCCTCCCACTTACGTTCAAATATTCTCGACACCTTCTTCTCGAACATCCTCAGTCTACGAAGAATTACATGGCGTTACACCATACGCAGACAGTACTACTCTTCATAGTCACCGTTGTGAGAACCTCACTTAGGTCTATGTTCTTCCCTAATGTGAGATATAAGTTTCACGCCCATATAAAGCAATAGGGAGTGCCGTAGGCTTCTGTTTTGATCTTTAAGTTATTGGGCAGCACTCTGAAATGTAAATCATTATTCCGGCTCCTTAAATTGCAAATAGTCGGCAAGTTTGTTCAAGGTCAAAGCTAGACGTCTTCTGAAGTCCGCAGAAGGCGAGAGAGCACAGTTACAACTGACAGTTATACAGCTGAGTTGAACTGTAGGTGCGTACTATAAAAACGGTATGGTACATATTGGCAGTTGTTTTCTTTAGTTGATGAGCCTTCTTTCTTACTCCGAGGGGAAAACATATCAATTACAGGTAATTGTAAATAAGATTCCAAGGAAAACATTCTGAGCAACAAAGGAATGTGAAATTCAGAACGTTAACGATACGAAACCAATTACTTTGTGAAAATCTTTATAAGCATAGGTTTATACCGATGCAGGGCTGTAAAGTGGGAGGTAGGCGTGGGGACATGCCTCCCTAGTTCCAGGGCTACTTTTTAAGAAGGAATTTCCAGTGTCCAAAGCAGTTCCCTATGAGACCTATAGGAATAAATCCCTCGTAGCTATTAACGACAGAAAATAAATGCACTGCGCATGCGTCAGCGTCTTTATCACGTGTGCTCTGTATTCCCCGAACTTCCCAGTCGATACTTAAGCCTCTACCTGGATCATAAGTCATTTCCACCCCTGACCGTAAGGATAAGAAGTGATTTTTGTCTCTTTTTACATTATGGTGGTTTTACTGAATTTATAGGTTCCATAACCAGAGACAGAGCATGTTAGCAAGCGTGATAACGCGTCTGACATCGTGTCAGGTTCAAATTCCGACCAGGCATGTTTCCAAGAATTAGGTTTATAGTGGTTATCCTCAGTTTCTCCAGGGTAGTGCAAAAGAGCGCCAGAAAATAGGGTAGAAGTGCTTCCTTCCAAATCCATCAGCATTATTTCTCACAATTATTCTACATCTCATTTGACGTTATTTAACCTCAGAAGTTGACGCAGTGTCATAAAATAACCGAGCAAAGAAGAGAGTTTTTTTAATTCACTTAGTGGGGGGTGGAATCCAATTGGGTCCACTCGGTACGGCGGCGACTGATTGGCCTATTATAGCCTGCCCCGGGTGATTATGATGATGGAGAATTTGGTGGAATAAAGATTGGCAGGGGAAACCGAAGTACTCGGAGAAAACCCGCCCCAGCGCCACTTTTTCCACTACAAATCCCACTTGACCAGACCCGGGATCGAACCCGGGCCGCAGCAGTGGGAAGCCAGCGACTAACAGCTTGAACTATGGCGCGGCCAAAGAAGAGCGTTAGTTGAGGAACAACAATGAGAAACAATGACTTTTTGAAGAGTGTGTCGTAAGTAGACGTGTTTAAACGATACATACGTAACCTACTTTCATGAAGTTTATGTAATGTTTTAGGAATAAAACAAATAGGCACGTGATATTGGTTATTTTGCAGAATATTTAAGATATATGTAAGAAATACATTTTAATCTCACATTAAAATGTTATGCGTTGTTCCCAAATTTCGTTTTTACCGTTGATGTATAATATTGTAATATTTCAGCAATCTATTGCGTTGATGTAACACTCTATACATTCACTTCAGGCTTTAATGCAACTCTGTTCACAATCTCTCCTTAATTTAAATTAACATTAAAGTCACACTAAACTGCTACATGGCCGCGCCATAGCTCAAGCGGTTAGTCGCTGGCTTCCCATCGCGGCGGCCTGGGTTCTAGTGTGATTTGTGGTGGACAAAGTGACGCTGGGGCAGGTTTTCTCCGAGTACTTCGGTTTCCCCTGCCAATCTTCATTTCACCAACTGCGCCACAATCGCCCTCACCTATCATCTGGGGCTGGTACAATAGGCCAGAAGTGGCCGCAGTGCAAGGAACTTAGTCCCACCCCACTAGCAATAAAAAAATGCTACATGTTTCGGCCTTACTTGGCAAACCTCAGGCAAATGTTCACTTTTCGAAATCGTCACACTGCACTAGTTCTGAAGTCAAAATATTTCTGTGCTATTGCATATCCGTCGTTCACAATAAAATACATTTATCTGAGAACATAATTCTTTATCCTTTCCTGCGCTCTTTTCGTCCTGCGGCGTCCGCGTTTTTTTTTATTGTTGTATTTAGTCATATGAACATGGGCGTGGTGTCCTTACCGTTGTTATTTTTATGTGCCCCCTTAGTATGTTCCCACTTGTCGAGTGTATGTCACTTTTATAAGACAAAAGTAACATACACTCGACTAATGGAAACATGCATACTAATGGGCCACATAAACATAACAACGATAAAAACAAGGCTAAATAAAGCAACACAAAAAACACGGACGCCTCAAAAGGGAAACAGCGCGAGAAAAGATAAAGAGTTAGGTTCTCAAACAAATATATTTTAGCGTGAACGGTAGAAATGCAAAAGCATTGAAATAATTTGACTTAAGAACTAGTGCAATGTGGCGGTTTCGAAAAGTGAATAGTTGCATGAGGTTGACCGAAGTCAGTAAGGCCGAAACATGTAGCAGTTTATCGTGATTTGAATGTTATTTGAAATTAAGGAGAGACTGTGCACAACGGTGCATTAAAGTGCAAGTTAACGAAGTGAATGTGTAGGTTGATGTATAAATTTAACTCAGTACCCTAAATCCAATCAAAACCAGGATAGCGCCACACACGCCATGCGCATGCGCCAATTCTTCTCAATATTCTGATGCTCGCACACCTTGGATACGCATTTCTTGAGCCTGGATAGCTCAGTCGGTATGATGACGGGCTGCAGGTTGGACGCCCAGGTTGCAATTCCCGGCAGATGGTAGAGACCACGGAGCTTCCCATTCATTGGGCATAGAGGGCTGTTTGCCCTGGAGTAAAGCTGACCACTCATTTACGTCCAGTTCCGAAGTCAAGGGTGGTGGAGTTATACCTCCAGTCCACTATACGTCTTTATGGCGTGGTACTTAATTAAGCATAGGGACAATTCTCTTTTTCCTTTGCCCAGCGTTAGAACAGAGAACTAAAATTTACAATATGAAAGGCTTAAACGTATATTTTAAATGATGCCATTTATTATACAAAATATAGTAAAATTATCGTAAAACAGAAATACGACGAAGTTTTATTACAAATATAAATTAAGAAATGTTATGCAAATGCAATGATTTTCAAGCTATATATAATGATACCCCCACCTGAGCTTCAAGAATATTTCATTATGCCCCCTCCTCCCTTCCAGAGGCACATGGTAGTGCAGTGGGTTGAGGCACTATGCTACAATGTCGTGTGTTCGATTCCCGATCAGGTCATTGGCTTTTTTCAATTGACCTCATCTTTCCAGCTGCACTATGGCCCTGGGGTCGACTCAGCCTCTAACACAAATGAGTACCAGGGATCTTCCTGGCGGTTAAAGGACGGCCGGTGTGTAAGGCTGACAACCTCACCGCCATCTGTGAGCCGATTATCTAGAAAAGGTGGGATCCTCGATGTCTCACAACCCCATGAACCTCCACGGCCTGTCATAGGGATAGCTTTAACTTTTCTTTTTATCCCTCCTCCTCCTAACTTTATGTTGTGTGTGTAAATATAACATATAACAATTATTTGCTTCTTATTTTGCAAGTCTTGTGTCATATAACCATACATGCTTTCAGAGCCTTTGGGCACACACCGAGTGAAAACCATGGTATACGCAATAGATGCAACAAAGCCAACAGGCTCTCACACATTGTGCAAAATTTCAGTTAAAAGAAGAATTCAAGAAACACTTGCTACAACTTTGAAACTAGCATCGCCTCATCTACTTTAAAAAAACAATAAAGACTATATTATCGCACGCTAAAGACTGCATGTTTTCTGCATGGCTGTGGACTCTGAGGGAGGGATACCTACATTTATGATGTATGAAGGAATACATGTTTAGGGCAACTATGGAAATGTGTAGGTCGAAAAGAGGTGAATTACATCAGGGGTGTCCAACTCACAGCAAGCAGGCCACAAGGAACTCATACCT